GCCGCTACTGTGGTCTTTCGTGTCTTGAGAAGGAAGGCCTTCAGTCCTCTACGGTGTTTCGTAGTGGTCGGATGTTGACGGCAGGTTCTGCCGCTCGGAGCAGTAGTGTTGTGCTGTGTTTGACCATGAACGATCGTGTTGGGTTGTGGACAGAGGATGGCAACTGTGCGTATGCTGCAGACTACATTGTGGACGGCTGGGTAAACGTAAATGGTAAGGATATTTGGCGTTCTTTTTGTTTGCCCTAGATCATTCGAAAATGACTCTGACGTGCATTTACTTCAGTTAAAAAAAATCTGTAGTGAGATAAAAGTATGAAGGAACATGTGACCGATGTTATGAAGTGGCCAAATTTGGTTAATATCAGGCATTGTCCGAAGTCCTGTATAAAGCAAGTGTCGTTACTGATTATGATGATATTTTTGGGGGTTTTTAACTCCGTGTATATTCGTAGGTAGGCACCAACGTTTCGAAGAAACATATTACCTCCATCTTCAGGGCTGTAGTCACGCACTGGTTTGCTTGGTTTTGTGTCTCCCAGTGTAATCTGACTCTGTAAAGCAGGGTCATTCTGAAGCTACTGTTATTTGTTCAGAATTATAACTTGTGTTGGGCAAGGCCGTGGTCTAGGCAACACGGAGTTTTCCTCCGTGGCATCCCAACAATTACTCCACTCACACACACACAGAAGAAGGCAATGGCAAACCACTTCTGGATCATCTGCCAAGAACGTATATGAACAGGTCCCAGTCTGAGAAAAGGATGGAAGGATCCTGTTCATATGGACCTGTCGTCAGACAGAACACTAAATAAATAAAATAATAGTGAAGAAATGATCGCCTTTTATGAAATGAAATTTCATTACCGTATTTACTAGAGCTTGGGCCACATCCGGAGCCAGATGAATCCACTCCCTAGTATAACCTAACCGTTGTTAATGCTCATGTATTGTTATTACATTTTTTTCCCTAACGACATCAAAGTTACCCCATTAAACAGATCATTGTCTTTTCATGTCGTCATTAGCAAATTCAATTCAATTCATTTATTAAGGCTTTGACCGGGATGTTCTTTTGTTAAATCTTATGTGGTACCGCCTGATTCGACTTCTAATGGTTAAGTGAAGTGTTTTCTTCGCGGTACGGTCTGGATTCGTAAATATTATGAAGACGAGCTTCGTCTTCAAAGGGTTAACCAGCTGATTTTCGTAATGGTGAGGTGTAGTGTTTTCTTCGCGGTACGGTCTGGATTCGTAAATATTATGAAGACGAGCTTCGTCTTCAAAGGGTTAACCAGCTGATTTTCGTAATGGTGAGGTGTAGTGTTTTCTTCGCGGTACGGACTGAATTCATAAATAATATTCAGACGATCTTCGGCTTCAAAGGGTTAAGTGCTGTATCCAGTCCAGCTTATCCGTAGTCAAACCCGGCTTGTGGTGTTTCCTGTTTAACGTTTTCAGTCTTGATTCGTGGACGGAGGTCATTTATGATTATTTAGGCACGAACTATTGACCTTGTTCTGTTCTACCACAGCGAACAATGCAAAATGCTTTTCTCTTTCCATCTATTTTTATTTCTTTTCTTGTCGAGATTTTAGCGTAGGAAGACCCTCGTAACTGATTTATGGGCCGATACAACATTCTTTCTTCCTACACTCTGAAACACGTCTCCAGACACGAGACGTAACTCAGACGTAAAACGTTCCTACTCACACAACTTGCGAAACGAAGTTCCAAATTAGGATCTTTCCGGTTTCAGACATTTTAGAGCACTGTTATAAACTGTGTAAGACTTCAAATGTGGTCACTCAGGAATCCCTTGATTGTGTGTGGTCTTCTCTGATGCGACGCCTCGTTGTAGTGATTGCGACATGATATTTGAGATTAACACGGCTGTGAAAATATCGACGTTGTTCTGAGTCTCAACGCAATGTGGATTGTAGGTAGATATCGAATTTTCTGGAGAATAATTTAACTCCATCTTCAGCTGCGAAGTCTGCCCAAGAAACAAACGTCAAATGGAGACGGTCATGACTTTCTGTAATATTTACTAATTTAGGAACCAACTCCATAGAGCAGAATCCTTCACAAGAAGCTGATTGTCGATCATTTATTCAAGAAATTACCTGCATTTTATGGAACCCGAGTATTCACAAAATCCTGTCATCGGTCCCTGTCCTGAGCCAGATAAATTTCTTTAATATGTAATTATTTAATAGAACGTTCAAACATTCCATGTTCTAAGATCTATCGAAATCCAAGATTCTGTTGTAACACTTCATAACATGCTAGTGTGAAGTTTATAGCCCGCCACTACCTTCCAACCGCAGTTATTCATTGTTCGCAAGGTCCACTTTAGTATTCCGAAGGCTTTGTTAATATATGTAGTTTTGTGTGAAGCCATACAATCCAGTTTTCTCGCTTGTCCGCCCATTTTGCTTGCACCCTTAACCAGTCCCCCCCCCCTCCCCAAAGTCCCTTAAATTCCTGCATCACGCTGCTGCAGATAAGAGGAGGCATCTGTTTCTTCCCCCTGTGATCTCTGCATAGACACAGTTTTTTTTATTTAATAGCAAACGAGCTTTACAATTGATGGACGGAATTGCACTGCTACAGATGGCGCTAGACACATTTGCTACCAACTGCTGATTTTTCGTCTCCCATCCCAGTACACAAGGAGCTATAGAAACAAAGAACTTAAACCTAAATTTATTTTTTATACATTTGATTCGTAGTAAAATGGCATCATTTAAGATCAGTGAATTTTTTTTTTTGTTCCATTAAAAGTTTAAGGCCCAGTGGTAATTAAATGTACCACCTGCCTGTCAATAATTATCATTTTAAAATGCAGTTACAGACTTTTAAGGCAGGTGGTGCTTATAGTTACCACTGGGTTGAGGCAGTGATCTCTAATTGCAGACCAGTCGAGGACAAGATAAAATGTGGGGGGAAAAATTGTTCCCGTGTTTTGGGTCGAATTGTGGTTTTCAGGAAGATGGTCGCACCTCAAGGGAAATTTGATGCGGTTCTGTCCGCGATGCATTCTGGACAGATAAAAGTGACCTCCTTGGAAATCATTTTGGTAATAATTTTCAGGATGTATTCTCTTGGGGGCTACCAACATTTATATTGTCCAGTTTTGTAAAAGTGATTTTTCTTCAGTTACTGAAGCTGAAAGCGAATATGTCTATGGAAAATGGGAAACTTCTACTTCAAATGTTGGTAGAAACGATAAGCATGTGTCAGTCGTTCCAAACCCAAAAAATATCATTTTGATAGTTACGTAATAATTCGTAACCCAGTGTTGTCTTGAACTATCCACAGAAATGTTATAAGTAAGTGATAACACACATTCGAATCTTATAAATACGAGCGAGCCTACTCACATTAGTGAGTGCGTGCACACACGCACGTGTGTGTGTGTATATCAGCTTCATAAATACGTGAAGGTTAAGAGGGCACTTCGACCTCTTAAATGACACATGAAAGTTAATGCACTACAAGAAACAAACACTACATTATTCTTGCTTGTCACTTAAGTCAGATTCCAAGTACTAGAGGATGTGACGTCACTCATCTCGACGAAATACAAAGCTAATGTCTAATCACTGACTTGTGTACGCACTTTAATTAAATTCTGATTTATAGAAACGAAAGGATATTGGTCTATATACCATATCTTTCTAATATTTACATCCTTGATGCAGAACATTGTTTTGTGCGGTAAGTAATGTATGGTTGCCTACCGACGAAACAGCGGTGTGAACAGGTCAGTGTATCACGTGTTTGTTTGTCTCCTAGCAGCTAGGTCACACTTGACGGAAGGAAATTTAATAAACAGAATTTTATATTACATAAGATAAATAGGAGATGAAATAAGTAATAATGAGAATTTTTGTATCGATATTAACGACCTATTAAAATTGTCTTGAGTTTGATGATTTTCTGCAGAAACTCGCCATTTTACAAGATTGTGAATCCATCTACTGCGTATTCCAAATTATCTTTCACTAACAGGTTTTTAGATTGAAATTTTGTATGCACTTTAATTTTTATGTACGGTACAGACCCCCCCCCCACCCCTCCGCAACTCATGCAACCATAATTTTGTCAATATTATTTCATAAAGAACATTGGACACGTATGGCCTAAGGATTTCCAATAGTCGGCAGTCTGTATTTCTTGATATTATTTAGTGTTATGAAATTGTGTTTGGTTAAAATTGGTCATGACACATTTTTGAAAGAATGCAAGATTTTATTGATTGTACTCGCCGCGAAGGTCGCAAATCCTATACGAAGGAAGATCATTTCACGTCGAAGGCACTGAAAATTGAAAGTTTTAGAAAGCTTATGAATTTACGAGTACTTGAAATCTGATAAGACGCGATAAAGTTAAATGAAAAGTGGAAGGAAATATTCGCCAAGGCTTAACAATCTTGTGACTCACCTGTGGTTGCATTTTCGAGATTGTCTCGTATTACTTGGCATTAATTCCTATCATTCCATTACTCTTACACAATATCCAGTCCTGAATAGCAATAATTCAGTTCCATGACAAAACTTTCAGCTGCTGTCTTGCTGAAGGACTCTTTACTCTATTTGATCTGCTCTAAGTGAGTTTCCGGCGTAGTTTAAAGGTCATTCCGACCTCCAACTTATACAGTTACATTACGTTCAAACGATTTCAACATTTGTCCCACCACTTAACTCTTATAATTAGCTAATTCACTGGAGTAGAGTCCTTGAGAACGTAACATTTGCTTCTCTAGTCAAGAAACTTCCGAAATACGAAGAGCTTGCTTCTGTCGGTAAACATAATTCCTAATATTCTGCAGTACAAGCGATTATAATGCAGACTTTACAAAGTTTGCTCACAAATTTGGTTTAACTGCATTGATATTCATTTCGTGCTTAGAAATTTAGAAAAATTTCGATTTATGTAAATTAGGTATTGTGTTGGTCTGACGAGAACCAACGTTAAATTTGTCGTGTATGGTGTAGTTTATTTAAACTGAGTGCGTGTCGTTATTTTTTCACGGGAATACAAGACATTCCCATTATACGTTAATTTTACGCATTTTTAGCAAAAGAGACAGAAATGTGCAAACGGCTGTGACAATCTAAACAGAGACCACGTGTTTACGCGTCACAAGTAATGTTTGTGAAATGACTGTTATGCACACTTTTGTTGTAATGGTCTCATAATCTAGTGC